AATTCGATGCGCTGCTGGCCGCCTCTCTCTGGCTTGCAAGCGAAGACATCGGATGTCGACGATGTCATTTGTGCGTCAAAGTCCCGGCTGGTACGAATATTGCCTTCGGTTGGTTTGAGATCATGAGAGACAAGAGCGTGTTCGGAGACAATGCCGAGGTGTTTGATCCGATGCGGTGGCTCGAGGCTGACCCCGAGCAACTCAAGGAGATGGACGCAACCCAAGGGCTCGGCTTTGCGCTGGGGACGAGGTGGGAGTGTCTGGGAAGGAGGCTGGCAAATATGGAGATGGGGAAGGTAATTTTCGAGGTGAGTGTGCTGCTTGTGGAAGCCGATGGCAACTTGGAAGGCTGCTGACCAAGATGTGAAGCTTTTCCTCCGTTTCGACTTCGCCATGATGGATCCAGTGTCGCCGTTAAAATGGGACCATCAGGGATTTACCATCAACAAAGACATGAATGTCATCATTACCAAGCGGGAGTCGAAGGATGGCATATAATGAGTTTGGTGTATTATCAAGGAAGGGAATGGGCTACAATTCCCCGTCACGTCACTTCACCTCGCTCACATCGGTTCTTGCGGAATACACAGTCGAACTACTTCTAGAATTGGCCATACTGGGACACTAAGAGAGCGTAACACAAGGAAAATACTACCAGTTGATAGTATCCTCAGGGGGCTGTTGGTACACCTGCGTGCCTGACCTAAGAGGATGCCCCTAATTATCTCTAAGTCAACAGACGCAGAACAGGGTCACAAGATATTTGATTCAAGCTTAAAACGCAAGAGAGGAGATCCCAGAAAGCTCTCACATGTTATCACAAAGAAGGTCGATACTATCATCGCGGAGTAGACTAGGATTTCTGGAGCGAGCTCGCGGGATGGTATGATGACCAAGTTTCCCTTCCACAATAATGGTGACATTGGTACCTAGGGCTAGAGATTCCCTGCCACACGGGCCTTACCTTCGGCGTGTGTGTAACACTCCCATCCAGCCTCTCCTTTTCCCAACTTGGCCATCCCCAACCAACACAAATCATCTCGTCTCAAAATAGTCAACCGACAACCCCAGCGCATCACACTGCGCCTTCTCCGTGACCCCCTGCTGCCGTCCATTCCACTGCAACAACCGCCACCCGCCCGGCCCCGCCGTCTCCCACAACCCAACCTTCTCCACCTGCTCCAGCGTCCCCCAATACCCCCGCGCCTCCAAATACGCCCTACTCGGGTTCGGGTCTTGCGTCCTCGCAAACGCGCTCCAGTAATCAACAGCCAACTGCGCGAACGGCACATCAAGCCCGTCGCGGTCGGGCAGGCCGGCGCGCAGCGGGTTGCCGAAGACGACCATCTTCTCGCCGGCGTGGCACTTGAAGTACTCGGCGTCGGGGTCGCCGTTCGGGCGGGCGGCCGTTTTGGGCGCGTCGCAGTGCGGTTTGGTGTAGCCCGGCGGGCTGTAGGTGCGGTTGAATTGGAAGGAGTAGACGGTTTTGAAGGCGGCGTGTCGGGCGGCGGTGTAGGCGGTGGCTTGTTCGAGGCAGGTGTATAGCCCGTTGGTGGAGGCGCGGATCGTGGCGTTGAGGATTTGGGTTGGGGATGTTGGGTTGGGGGGTGCGAAGGCGGAGGAGTTGAGGAAATGGGAGAGGTCGCCTACGTCGCCGGGGAGGTGGTGCGCGAAGATGTCGGTGATGTTGGCGCCTTCCTTGATCGGGTCGACGTCGACACCGAGCTCGTCGCGGTTTGTCCCTGTCATGAAGGCCACGTCTTTGGTGTAGCCGCTTGTGTTGTTGAGCGCCAGAGTGTTCGACACGAGCCATGTCCCGTCCTGAACCAGTGATCTGCACCATGTTAGCCAAGTTGATCTCGCCGTTTTGCTGTGTCATGTTTGGACGTACCTGGATACGGCACTGATGTTTATCAACTCAGTGGCGTTGACCTCCCGCATGCAGGCGAGCCGATCTGTGGCATTCAAGCAGCCCATCTTGTCAAGGATGGCCTTGGAAGTCCCCTCAAATTCCGACTCGATGGAGTTGTAGTAGGAAGTCGAGCCATGTTCGTTCCCTGAGAGCCCCGTCGGGCCAGACATGCTGATGGCAGCGTAGAACAGCCCCTGAGCCTTAGGAGAGGCGAGCAATGCCCGGACGAGCATAGCGCCGGCCGACTCGCCAAAGATGGTCACCCTTGTTGGATCGCCACCCAAGTCCTTGATATACTTCTGCACCCAATTGAGCGCGTTAATGAGATCTCCAAGTCCGTAGTTGCCGTTATGGACCCCGTCATCGAATGCCATCCATCCAAGCGTGCTGACGCGGTAGTTGGGCGTCACTACCACGACATCGCCACGAGAAGCGAGATTCGTGCCATCTGCGTTTCCATTGTTGCTCGTGCCACTAGTGAATCCACCGCCGTAGATGTAAAACATGACGGGCTTTAGCTTCGGCTTGATGGCGCGACCCCCCTTCCGCGGCGGGAGATGGGTCGTCCAGACGTTCAGAAAGAGGCAGTCCTCACTGCTACCACTCTGCACTTCGCCCACCGGCTGGAGGCAGTCGGCCTTGGACGTCAGTGCCGTGATCGCCGTCGCCTCGTTGGGCTCGAACGGGGTCGAGTGCTCGAAGCGCGTAGGTTGTGGGGCATATCGGATGGCGCGAAACTTCCACGCGAAGGCATCGCGGTAGCCAGTATACATTTGATTACCCACTGGATGGTTGACGAGATAGCCAGTGGCCGTGTTGTTTCCCTGTGTAGAGACAGGGGCCGTCTGGGTGCATAGGACGGGGAGCTTGCGCGTACAGTCGGAGGGCATGGTGTTGCCGTGGATATCAATGGCACGGCACTGACGGCAGCTGGCGGTGGTATTCCGGTGTCCGCGGTTGACCCAGAAGAGCTGGCTGACGGGGACGGCACCAATGTGGGCCTGGTATGAAAGCGAGTTATTCAGGCCGTCAGTGAATTTCATCGTGTCCGGGTTCCAGAGGCCTTCACTAAGGGCCTTGCACGAGGCGACGGCCGCGGCGTAGCTTGCTTGCTGGTGGACGAGGAGAGCGGCGGAGCCATTCTTGGGACTATCTTCACAAGGTAGTTGGTTAGGAGCGCCTTTTGCGACAAATGGGCCTCGATACTCACTGTCAAGACGATTATCGGATAAGATGGTCAATCCGCCGCCGAACCTCTCGCTTCCGGGCGCACTTCGTTGGTCCTCTATAGTCGACGCCCCGAGAACCCCTGGGATTGGAGACAGCAGCAGCGCCCCCAAAACAGCGGTTTGCAGTGCATGCGCCATCATGCTACTTGCTATGAGGCTCCTAGCAGCTTGTCCGTGGTACCGCGGGAGGAGGATGGCCACAGCGCGACGCAGCCGACATTATGAACATGTCATCGGGTAAATAGGTTCTGGGTTCCCATCTCTGCCTCCGCTCTTGCACGCGTGCAGATCACTTTAGCCGCTTCCGCCACCAGGGTCAATGGCATGACCGAGCAGCCGTCAAATACCTTAAAGACATCCACTAACTCGAATGCTCTACATGTAAGTTCCGCCACGACTAATTACCGCGCCGGCCGCGGCGCCTGGCACCTGCACCATCTAAAACATACCCCATACAGGGAGTCATGTATCGGGCACGGGTGGTAAAAGGGGCCTTCCAAGCATTGGGACATAAAAAAAGAATCCTGCTCGGAAAGTCGGACTCCGTTCCTTTCCCCTTGCTGTTTTCGGGATCCAGGATCATGTTCGCCTCTCGCTGGATTGGACTAGGCTCGGTTCGCCGGCCCGGGCTCGTCTGCCTTAACTACCTATTTTACAACGCCACCCGTTTAATCTGCTTGCAGTGAGATCTTTGCAATGAGCGTAGAGAGGCTTGCGGTCCTGAATAGAGTCTCCCCCCCCGAACCAGAGAGACAAACGCGAAATCCAACCAGGCAGTGGCGATTCCATTAATTCTCGGATTCGGGGCGCCGTATTTCTAACAAGACAATCCAAGTTTGTCTTCGACTAGTCTGTCGCATGCAGAGGATAATTGGATTCGATCAACCGAGCTGGATCCCCGGCCCTGGCAAGCCACCATCAGCCGAGTCGTCGCAGTGATGTGTGTGTAGTATCAGAGGCCTGGGGCCCAAGGACCGTGGTTATTAATACGGCCCAAAAAGGAGATGGTTGTAAGCCAAAACCCAACATGCCGCTCTAGGAAGGAAGAATGGGTTCGGTTATGATGCCGATTGATAGAATGCGGCGAGAGAGCTGTATCAGGTACCACCCACATGTGAGCCTTTGGTTTGCGCATTATCGAGGGGGTCGACAGGGGAGTGGGGGCGAGGAGAAGGGTAAATACCTGATACCCGTAGAAGCCAGTGATTGCATCCCCTGGCGCGGCCGAAAACACTCTCTTCAAATTGCTGGTTTTACGGGGGTGAGGTTCCCTACCAAATTCCCACATCCGCCCACGGTTCGTGTGTATCTGTTCTCACCGTTAGCGCAGTGCCTTCCTGTGTGAGCGCACAGGAAGACGATGTCAATGTGAACTAACAACAGGAAGCGATGCCACTGCGTGGGTTAAGCCCACGCAGGGCGGGGCCGGGCGGTCTGGAAAGGTGGGCCCGGAATGCCGGCGCCCGCAACACCCCCCCTCAGACCGGCCTCCATCCGCCCCGGCATGAAGCCATCGCCATCTTTCTTAATCTAGTACATGTATATCTTCGTGGTGTTTTACTTCGCCCACGGAATCTTCTTCGCTCTCATGCCCATCATCCCCACAAATGCCGCGTGTTTCTCCTTCGATAACGGCTTTGTCAAACCGTCGGCTGGCATCTGTGCCCCGGGCAAATGGTTGACACTCAACTCTCCTTTCTGAACCTTCTCAATTATCCACTTGTAGCGGATATCAATCGTCCGTGTGCGCGCTCTGTTCATCGGGTTAAGTACCGTTTTGTACGCGTTGTTGCTGTCCGTAAAAATCACTGTCGGTATCTTCTGTGGAATGCCACAGTCCTTCAAGATCTGCGACACCCACATTGTCGACAATGCGGTGGGTGTCAAGTTGGTAAATTCGGCTTCCGTCGTACTCAATGCGACGAAAGGTTGTTTCTTTGACTTCCAGAGTACTGGTGCCCCGGCAAGGAAGACCGAATGGCCTCCTGTCGATTGTCGTGATGGTAGTCGGTCGGCTAGCGATGCATCCGCAAACGCCATCATTCGCATGTCGTCGCAGCTAATTTCGTCGCCGCCGAACTCAATGCCGAGATCCGTTGTGCCTTTCAGATATCGAAACACATGCTTAAGTAGGTCCAGGTGCGCTTGTGATGGGCCAGCGTTGGCCTCCGCCAGCCTCGAAACGGTATACGCGATGTCGGGTCTTGTACCACACGCAAGCCAATTGAGGGAGCCGGTATCTTTGATATACGCCTTCTGGCGTTTCATCACTGGTTCCCATGTCGCCGGCAATTCCATTTTACTGGGCCACGGTGTTGGCGTCGGATGGCAGTCTGACATTTCTCTCTTTGCCAGTAATGCCCGTGTGTAGCTTTCTTGTGATACGAAGATCTTCTTTTGTTTGCGATCGCGGACGATGTCGAAGCCCAGGAACCGTTTCACCGGGCCGAGTTCTTTCAATTCGAACTGCTTGATAATTTCGTCGCGGACCGTGTGGATCATGGCGGTCGAGGGCGCCGCAATCAAAAGATCGTCGACGTAAAGCACCAGAAGAATGTCGTAGCGTTTGTGTCGAAACAAACAGGCATCTGTTTCGAGTGCCTTGAAGCCTCTTTCTTCGAGTAAAGGTTTGACCGTGTTGAACCAGTATTGTGGACTTTTCCGCAGGCCGTAAAGTGCCTTTCTCAACCTGCAAACCATGTCAGGCGGAATGTCCAAACCTTCTGGGGGCTCAACGTAATAGTCGATGCCCTTCGGAATCAGCGTGTTCAAGAACGCTGTTATGAAGTCGTATTGCAGGCATTCCAAGTCTCGCACTGCGACGACAGCAAGAAATGTACGGACTGAAACGCTGTTGACGACGGCGGCAAAAACGTCTTCACTATTCCAAGAGTCTTTGTCGAAATTGCCACAAACAACCCATCTTGCGCGTGGATCTGTTGTTCCCGTTGACGGATTCATTTTTTCGTCAAATACCCATTTGCTCGGCAAAATCGTCATGCCTGGGCGTTTCGGAATCAATTCGTAGACTTCTTTGTCGCGCAAGCTGGCATCTTGTTTCAACATCGCCTTGAGCCAGTAATCCTTGTAGTTCTCAAGGCGTTTCGCCTGTCGATGGTTCTTCGGTATTTGGGGTTGCAGGTATTGCGCAATGTCGTTCTCGACCTTCACACTTGAAAGCGCCATGCCAATTGTTGGTTCGTCGGGTTCAGGGATATCCAGGTGCGCCGCATAAAACGACTGTCCCGGCAATTCACCCCTGCTCAATTTAGCATAATAACCTTCCTCTGTGCCGGTACCGTATTTAGCCTTTTGGCGCCGCGGGCGGGTCGACAACGTAGTCGGTGCCACTGTTCCGGGTTCGTCGGTCACCAAATTGCCAATTCCTGGCGACAAATGGTTAATTGGCACTGGAAGATCTCTCCCAATCTCCATGCGATCCTCCGCATCAAGCGTTGGTTCTGGAGTGGCCTCTGGAGTCGGTAATTGAGCGACATGTTTTTCTTTCTGCATTTCCGTTGTTTCGTCGCTCTGTTGAGGTTCGTTCTCGATTGCGGGCAGTTCATTTTCTGTCGCAGTGGAATCCCCCCCCTGAAGGCTAATCGTTGTTGTTGTTTGATCCGGATGGGTAATTGTCACCCAGTCTTGTTTTTCCACGACCGCTTCTTCTTCTTCTTGCGTTGTCGTGTCGGTAAAAACCGCTTCGTATTCGACATCCGTTCCGACATCTTCGTCAGGAACAAAGTCTGGGCCTTCGTTGAACTTGACTGCGCTGGCGCGAATGATCTTCCCGGTCTTCGGATTCCAAATCCAGTATATTTTGCCATGCAGGTCAGCGTAACCGATCAGGCGTCCTTTCTCGGCGCGCGCGGCAAACTTGTCGGATTGGACCCGGTATTTCGGTTTGACGTAGTAATACGCCTCGCAAAAGTAGGCTCGAAAGTGGGTGATGTGTGGCGTCCATGTCGACTTTGGCATACCGACACCTTTCGCAAAGGCCTCTTGTGGGCACCTGTTGCCCGTATTCGCATTCGTGGGCAGTACGTTTTTGACTTGAACGACTGATTCCATCACGAAGGTCCAGAGGTGTTCTGGAATCTGATACGCAATCATCGTCGCGCGCGTCTTATCCAGAACCTCCCTCGCCGCGCGTTCAACTTTGCCGTTCATCCACGGCGTGTGTGGAGGGGTCTGAAGGACCACAATGCCTTTCTCCCTCGCCCACCTCTTGAACTTATCGTCAACGAATGGAATAGGCGATTGTCCGAATTCGGTGCCGCCATCAATGCCGATCATCTTCACCCAACGACCTGTCTGGGTGTGAACCATGACCACCCAGTCCTTCAACAGGTCGAAGATCTGACCCTTTGTGCTGGTGTATTTGACCCAGTGGAAGTTCGTGTCGATGTCAATGATGTGAACGCTGTATTTATATCCCAACGCTCCCGGTTTTTCATGAGTAACCGTGTCGACACGAATGAAGTCAAGTGGATTATCGCCTTGGATGGGGGCTGATTTGCCCAGTTCGTCCGTCATCTTTCCCATTGTACAGCCTTCGCAAAAGTGATCTTGTTTGGCGGTCAATTCGATGCCTGCACGCCGACATGCTTCTTCAACAACTGATTTGCCGGCATGCATTAGCCTTCTGTGCATCTTGCGGTATGGGACTGACGCCATCTCTGGTTTCGGTTGGTTTCCTCTGTTGGTTGAGGTCGGCAGTGCATCTCTGACAGCTGGTACGCCTCGATAATCGTACAACTCCATCAGGAGGCTTCCTGTTCCTTTGTGATACAGCGTGTCATTGTCTTGGTCCCAACGAACGCCGTCATTCTTCATTCTCAGACCTGCAAGTAAATTGCAAGGTGCTGATGGTTGGTAAACTGCTTCGTCAATCTCGATCGTCGCATAATTGCCTGTCGGGAGTTGAACCGTAAGACTAACGGTTCCGCCCAGCCAATTCTCTATCAATTCTCCCGTTGAGGATATCGCCAATGACGCCTCTGGGAGTGTTTCCAATTCCTTGAACCACTTCTTGTCATTGAACGCTGGCGTCGCGCATCCGGTATCGTAAATCACGACATTCCGAATTGCCTCTGTCGACGCGCCTGATGCCTTGAGGGCCTGTTGGACTTTAGCGCTTAATTGCGCCACGGGCCTCCCCAAAAATGCGGTGCCATGTTCATCATGTTCATGTCCGGATGGTTGCTTGTAAACAGGAGATTCATCGGGCGAGACTGGTTCGCCACACCAGACTGTTGATGAAGAGGGCCCGTTGTCGACGAAGATGCCGACGACGATTTAGTCAACGATGTCGATGTCGACGAGGAGGTTTTCGTTGCCTTCGCCTTGAGGGCACTGTCTCTCTTCGGCCAGTTTTCCGGGGCCTGTTCCGGATTGCACCACCAGCAGATTAATGCCTTCGGGTAGTGGAAGCCACAGCCTCCGCAATGCGCCTGTCCAGTGTAAATGTCCTTGTCGCATTCCTTGCAGTCAACCCTCTGGTTTTTCGACTTCCAGGAGTTCTGTCTCTCGTTATTCTTGTTGGTCATCGAAGTCGACCGAGTGTTTGACGACGACGATGTGGCATCTCCTTCTACCTTCTTAGTCTTGTCCTTGCCGTATTTGACGTTGCTCAATGCCGGCTGGGTCGCCTCCTGGGATGCCAGTTCGTTGAATTCCAGCATCAAATCCGCCCACGACAACTTGTTGTTTCGAAGATTCGTCATCGACCTGGTATACAGATCCGGGTAGGCGTCGGAAATCGCCTGGATGGCGTTCAAGGTTGCCGCTGACTCTTGCATCTTGTAGTCAGTCTCATTTATCCGCTGATACAGATAGTTGAGCCGAATCTGAAATGTGGTGAACTTGTCATAGTCGCCACGCCTGATATTGAAGAACTCCCGTGCAATGTCGTATGTCGCTTTGTGGGTGTACTTATCGAAGTGCTGTGTCAGATGGTCAAATGTCGATTTCGGATCCTGGTCGGTAACCTTCCAGCCTTGTCCTCGCAACAAAGTCCACACGTTGATATCCGCAATTGTGCTCTGGATGAGGTTGTCAACGTCGATCCGGTCGTATCGCCACTGGCGCTTCTCGTCGTCATCTGCCGGTTCCGGCACGCCGGTAAGGATGTGGGCTTCCAGCCCTGCGCTCTTCAGCGACGTGAGCAACTTGTCACGCCATGTCAAGAAGTCCTCCTTTTTCTTGAGCTCTGGAACTTTCTCAAACGTGGTCTTCTGTCGCTTTGTCGATTTCTCAGCTAGCTTTTTCTCATAATAATTCTTTTGAGCCTCAAGCATTTGAGTCATCATCGCCTGCATTTGTTGCAGTTGTTCCGCCATTTGACTGATTTTGATGTCGCACACTTGTGTCGATAAATTGGAATGTCGGGTGTGGTTCGTTGACTTCAAAACGAAATTCCACACAATCGACGATTTTTCACTCAATTCCAATCTCTATCAATTGAGAGAATTAACAGGAAGAGTATCAACAGTAATAAAAGGAAGTGTCAGGGGCTCATAACCTGTGTGAGCGCACAGGAAGACGATGTCAATGTGAACTAACAACAGGAAGCGATGCCACTGCGTGGGTTAAGCCCACGCAGGGCGGGGCCGGGCGGTCTGGAAAGGTGGGCCCGGAATGCCGGCGCCCGCAACACTTCCCAAACAATTAGTCCGCTGGAAACGGGGATAAGGTACCCTGAGCCAAATAAAATACCCTTCGCGAAATTCTCGGGACCTGCTCGAGCTGCACTCGACCCCCACGTGATAGAGCTCGATTGTCTGGATATTTTCACCTCCAGGTCCGTCAATTAAAATGTCCTTAATCCCATAGTTTGTCGGCATGCCCTCGCAGGAGTCGTGCCCGAAACTTCGGCATGCGGTTGGAACTTCCGGGTCGTTGAAAATAAAATCTATGCGGTCGAGGCGGACGAAGGTGATTTTGACCAGGCTTCTAAGGAAACTCCCACCCGGGCCTCCAAACCAGGTCCAGAACAGTGGCCGATGTCCTGACATGTAAGGATTGGGTGCTATCATGAAACCCTCATTCAGATTTAAACTTGGCGGTGGCGGGTGAGGAGACCAGATTGCAGAGTTCCTGAGATTCCGGGCGTCGTCGTCGACGACTTCTAGGCCTTTCGGTAATATAGGCTGTTTTGGGTCTCGACAAGCTGCGAGACTGACCATTTTAAAACCCTGCATTCCGAATCCAGGCTTGATTAGCAAGTAGAACCATAGGCCGAATGGCCGATTAGAACAAAAGAAAAGGCCGGGGTTATCTTACGTCAAACTCGAGCTTCAAAGCCATAGTCTCCCCGCTCGTCGTGACTCGGCCCAGTCGTTCTGTTATAGGTACGCCATCGGTAAATCCGATCCAAGCAGACAGGTGCTTCCTCGCATTACTGCCACTGACGCACTGCAGGGCTTGGATGCCACCCACGCCGACGGCAAGGTTAAAGCCCATCAATGCCGCGCCATGGAGTTGCAAGGAATGCTCGCTGCCAGCGAGGCTGTAACCCAATTGGATCACTTCGTCGTTGGTAGCAGTGAGGGACAAGCCGCAGATGTATCCGTTTCCGCCGAAGAGGACAGTGGAGACAGCGACCCGTGAGATATCATTCGTCGGAATGGCCACCCCTTGGACTTTGGAACCTTTACAGGGTCCGTGATATTTTGTATCTAGCGGTAGACACCCCGCAGCCGTAATCCATGACTGCTCGGGGCTCCCATGTTCTTCTGGGAGAGGCGGGATATGCCAGGGAAGTGGCACCTCGTGAGGCAGTTCGTTCCAAGAGAGCGCCAAAACGTCCACCACGTGTTGTATAATAAGGCCCCAAATCCGCTTCCTGTTTCGTGTGCCCTCAGCTAGGCCGGCATCGGCCGTACGCTGGTACAGTCCACGCCAATCTCTGTGTCCAACGACGCCACGGGTTTCGGAACCCGAGACTGCTTCAAAGAGCCATGAGCGTTCCGAGGCCTTTCCCCTGAACCGAGATGCCCAGAATTGTTGGCTGTCGAAGATAAACCAGAATGACGGCGATGCGCGGCGTGTGTTCAGGGTGTCTGGAGTTGAGAGGTAGGTCGCGATAGCGGAGCGCAACTCCACGGGAAGTGAGGCGAATGGATCCCGGCCGGGTGATGATGATTCGGTGGGCAGTAACGGGACCCGAGAAGGCGGCGCTTGTGGAGTTTCGGTCAGAATTGCTTCCACCTCGGAAGTAGCTAAGGGGTTAACGTTGTAATATGCCGGTGTTTGAAGAACGTCTTCAATACCGTCGTATGGTGTTAGATAATTGCCGTCATCGACCTGTGTCTCCCAATCGTGAATTTGGTCCTCAAGAAATCCTTGAAGTCCTCCGTAGTCGTGGCCCCAGTCCAAGCTTGGACACATTGAGTCTGTCATGATCAGGGAGTCTAAAACCTCGAATAGTCTCTCACAAGGGACCTGGGTCGGATGATATGCCTGTTTCACGAGAGACCAGCAGGCATCGTGGAAGACGTGGCCACGTTTCCCGTTGATTTCGAGCCACTCGCCCCGGAACAATACCCCAAATTGATCTAGGTCCGGATTTGCATAGCCAGGGTCGCACCACCGAGCATCAACATTTTGAGGCGCGATGAAGCGGCCCAACTGCGGATCGGAGTAGAGGCCGACGCCGGTCACATGAACACCCTCCTCTCGGCTTCGGCATACTACGAGATGATATTAGTTAGAACGACACAATTTAATTTTGATCCAACCTAGGGGAAAGTACAGGTATACTCACGACCGCGAAACTGATTCATCCACGAAACAGAGCCAGCTTTATCAGCGATAAACCACCCGCAGAAAACGCAGTGGACGACGAACGGGAGCTGGTATCCGTTCATATTGGTTGCGAATGCGTGGCCTTGACTGCTGCACTATTTTGCGTCGAAACCACCTGAATGGAAACGGTGTATGATACCTAAGGCCGGGGAAATGGATTACCTGTGATGAAGAGAAAATTGGCAGAAGCAGGCGGAAGTGCGGGGTTGGTTGGTTGTCGTTGGGAAGGAGCGACTCTGGGAGGGCAATGTAGACAGCCCGGAAAAAATACAAGCGGTGTGCCACGCGCGCACATCAAAACATCAAGGCGTTTGCACCACACAGATGTTTGAGCCACATCCCAGGTTGTATGAGATACCTCGCAAGCTTGCTTCTTTCCATTTCTCACGCAAAGATTTAAGATGTGCTAAAACAAGAAATTTCAAGTGCAAACATCAATCCTGTGGCGTACCATACCTTACAAAGACGAACAACGACGGACCAAACCAGTGAACTTGGGTGTTTCAAACACGGGTCAATTGATGATCAAACCCATTTCACATTGAATCCAACCTCACTACCTCGCCGACTCTGGTACAATGCTAACGTCGCAACATCTAACCAACCGCCATGATGGCCCCCAATTTCTCCTCCGTTTCCTCCCGATAACGTTTAGTGGCAGCCATCAGCCCGATCAGACAGGCACACGGTCAAGAGGCTGCCCCCGACCCTGACGTTTCTCTTCAGGCCAGAGACCTTGCCGTTGGAGCTGCACGAGTTGTAGATGTCGACCCCGGGGCTATACAGCTCCGCACGGACACCGCCGAGCGGAATATTGGACCAGCTGACGTAGCAGTTGTTGTAGCGGATGTTGCGCGGCGATTGCGGGATTCCGTTCTGGTCGCTGCCGAGCGCCACGAGCAGGTTGTAACAATCTCCCGTGCTCGCCTGGTGGCTGCCCGAGCACGCCGGGCTGTCGCGCGCCTGCAGGCCTTGGTTGGCGGAGCGGCTCGCGAGAGGGCCGGGCGCCGCAGGGAGGCCCGCGGGCAGGTTGTCGTCCGTCAGGAGCCAGTATTGGTCCTTGCCCTCCGTGACCAGTTTGAGGTTCAGGTCGTAGCCGTTGGAGGGTGCGGCAGGGATCGCGGTGCCAAGGGCGCCAGCGGCGAAAAGGGTGGTGATGGCGGTAAGATACTTCATGTTGATGGTGGGCGAGATTCGAGGAATCCAGGAAGCTGTGTGAATTGGTGTGGTTGGAGACTTGGAGTGGGTTGTGAAGTTGAACTCGGCGATGGTGAGGTTGAACTTGTGAAGAGGACCTGGACGTTGAGGATATTTATGTTGTTCTGGCCTCCATAACGCTCCTTACACTCGTGGTCTCGTTAACATGCTCTGGGCTCGCATTCCGCATTGGGGACCTTGTAGTTGGATCTAGTCAGCCACCCTCGAGCCGGGATACGAGCATCCGGGGGCGACTCTCGACTGTACACCGTCGGAGGTTGTTTTTCGACGTAATTGCCCAATCAACATACACCATTATAGCCCAAAGAGAAAAGGCCTCATTAGCGCCTAATACCTCAGCCCGTATGCAGTCGAATCGGTGGGCCCAACGTTGAACCGCGATGGACAGCGGTGGACAGCGGTGGCAAGCGAGAAGTTGATGACTGAGCCGCCTGGTGCGACAACGAGTAGAGCGTACCTAGGTGGGTGGAACACTGTCTCGCTTGATTCAGGTTTTCAAAACAGTCCCGTTGGAGTTGAATGCAGCCATTGAGATTTCTAACTTGACATGGTATTCTAATCCAGGGTACCTACCTACCTACCCAGGTAGTCTCGCATTCCTCCTCCGTCCAAACTCAGCTCAGGCACATGCATGCATCCCTTAGCCAACCCCCTGACCTTTTTGCACACCACTAACTCACTGCAAACTTGAGCCTAGAACCACCATGAGTCATCGCAGCCTTCACCGCTCTCAGAGCAGCTCCGACCTCCGCCGCGGAGCCCGAGGCCTACGATCTCAAGCTAGCCCTTGACAAGGACGGGTCCGGCAAAGCCGCCTGGCGCCTGCTCGACGAGAATATCCCCCGCGCACGTCGACCAAGGCTGCCGCGGCCTGGACACCGACATATAGGGCCCCCACCCCGTAACAGCGTGAGCAACCTGTTCACCAAGGGTCAGTATGGCCTTGAGGGCTGTGCGGTGTGCGTACTGGGACTTGGAGTTTCGGGTTAGTTGGTGTGTGGGGGTGGATGATGTTGACCCGCCGATTTTGAAGCTTGTGACACCGGATGAGTTGGATAGGGATGGGGGAGGTTGTCTTTGATGCGAGAAACGGTCAAAATTATGGTATAACCGGAGATTCGAGCGGAAGGCGCTTGGGATTAAACGGATGTCGGTGGGTGGGAGGAAATCTGGCACGATTCGATGGCGAGCAAAAGTGTTCTGTGTCTTCAATGATTAACAGGTACCGTTGGTTGCTCACTGCAACATGTCCCCAGCAATAACATGACCTGACTGCCCAATTTGGACCCCCGCATGTGCGACGGAATGCTCTCAATTACAAATAATAATAGCATAGATCTCCTCCCGTCGTCGACATGACCTCCCCAATGGTAGTCGACTCCCCAGCATACCCCATATCAATAACATCCCCCAACTCAGCCAGATCCGACGGTGGTTCATTCCCCCACGTCCGATGAGCATAAGACCCAGACCCAAGATCCGTGTAACGCGCAGGCCCGGCGCCCAAAGCCTGCCACATGGTCCAAACGCGGTCCATCTGGCCGTGATGCACCCAAAAAGCCGGGTCACCAGGGGAGGTAAACAGATCGCCACCCGGGTCGCCGCCGATAGTGTAATGAATACCACCGTGGGGCCCGATCTCGATCGTGTAGGGGACGCCCTCGGAGACGATACGGAACTGGTCGACGTCGGGCCGCGTCAGCAGCTGCAGCACCGTCGAGTAGTTGGCGTAGCGCATGTTCATGGCCCCGCCCAGGTCGCGCTTGAGCCCGCGCGGGTTATGGCCCAGCCCGCCCATGGGGCCCGGCGCCGTGTCCGCGAGGCCGCCCACAGGACCAAGGTTGACCACCATGTCCGCGAAGGGGCCCGTCTTGACCAGCCCGCCGCCTTCGCCAGCAGGGAGCGAGATGTTGCCGCCGCCGACGCCGGCAGGCGGCACGATGACGGGCCCGTCGTGCGGGATGTACTCGCCGTTGCCGCCCAGGCTGGTGGGGTCGCCGTTGAAGAGCGGCGAGTTCTGCGGCGCGTTCGCGTACTTGGCCCAGTCCCAGTACGGCTGGTAGCCCGTGTAGCCGCACTCGTCGCGCAGGGCCTTCTCGTACTGGTGCACGAACCAGCGGTGCCACGGCTGGAAGACGCCCGAGTAGTGGATGGCAAGCGTCTGCTGGATGTGCGTCACGACGAAGTCGTCGAACCGTGACTTGGCCCCCGGCGCCACGCTCTCGGGCGTGCGCGGCGGCTTGCTCTGCAGGCACTTGACGGCGTTGACATAGGCGAGGCGGTCCTGTTTGGACAGTTGGCCACTGGCGAAGGGGTTTGGTTAGAAAACCTACAAATAGGAATTCTGTGAATTTAACACTTACTATTCCCGACGGAAAACAAGCTTGTCGACGGTGCAACGGGGTGTCTCGCCGGCCTCCCGGAGCTTATTCTCCTGCTCGGTCAAGTCCTGGATAACCCGAGACTTGGCTTCTTCGATGAGATCGGTCAGCTCCTGCGGCTGGGAAAGGCCAGTGCCCCGGCAGCGCACACCAGCGTGGACAGTGGCTGCCGCAAGGGCGGCTCCAAGCAAGGTGGCGGCCTTCATGTCGATCGCTGAGGGGCGGAATGAGAACAAGAACGGACTGCAAAAGGAATGAATGGACGCGAGCTGCATAATAAGGACCCGCTCCCTCGTGGCAGCCTTGGCAGCTCAGGGGGTTCGGCGCACCTTTCCAGCCCCGAGGCTTCGTCGCCTTCTAGTGTATGTACTAGTGTAGTTCTTTTTGGAAATTTGGTCTCCAGTCACCCCCTGGCTACTGTGGTATTGGGCCCCAAAGCGGAAACATGGGTCCCACCGTCTTGGGAACTATGTTTTGGTACGAAATACTCGTAGTTTCTTGATAAGCCCAACGTTATGCGTTTCTACTGCCGGCAGTTGGGTTTGCGGCGTGGGACTTGCCACCCCTTTCAACCTCGTTTGTGGGGGTACTGGGCAGCCAAGTCGTCCGGTTCATCCGACGGGGAAATCCAATCCCGGAAATTGAGGTGGAAAACCTCACCAGGCGATGGGGTCGAAGGAATCGTCGGGTCGACGGATCCGGTCCTTGTTGATGCGATTGGGCGTGATGTTTTCTGCCCCTTGCGTTTGATGTTGGATTTGGGATTTTGAGCCTCCACCTTCGATGATCATTCTCCTGAGAAGGGAGGTACGAGAAGAGGTGGGACCGATCGATTCAACCGGCCAACGAATTGGCGTCGTGAGAGAACGACTACCCCAGTCAATCAACAGGGAACTAGGGACGGCGGGTTCAGGCCGGGATTATAACGACACACACAAAACTGGCTTCATGCCCCGTTGCCCGTCCCTTGTTCTTCTAACAATGGTAATGTCGTTACTGGGAACCGATTCTCCGTCCAAAAAGGAGGAATGATCTTTCCATGAGGCGTGGGGCACGCCAGGACTCGTACAAACGAGGGATGGCTTGCCTCTCTGGAAAAGAGCTTGCTGTTGATGATATAAGGCGCTGAACTGCTGCCGTATGTGCCGGTGGGGTGGATTACAAAGAAAGATCAGACGTCACTTGATGCCCCTGAGTCGGTGCATGAAAATCTTGACTCGGTGGCAGGGACAATGCTTCGAGATTGAAGAATCCGTCTCGGCAGGAAGATAGAACCGGATCGGAATCCAGAGATCGGGGTGGTATTTGAACCCCTGTCTCAGCTCCCAGCAAAAAAAGAGCCTTTCCGAAAAGGCACCAAGGAAGTCAGAACAGGCCGAAGTGGCTTCTGATACGGCAGTCGTCTCCTTGGCAGAAACCTTGCTGTGACGTGCAGCCCTGCGCGTGGAACCGGTCCGGCGGGAAGGTGCCCGTAGAAACAGAGGAACAGGGGGTTTTCTGTATTCCAGGTCCCGGGACCGATTAAGAGCAGACTTCTTCCCCTTGCTCTCCGGTCTCGCGGTCACTCCCGGTCGAGATCCATCAAATACCTCCCGTCAGCTGTTGAAGGCAGCGGTTTCTCTGCGGGCACCTCATCAAGCCCACCAACATGTCGGGCGCCGCGGTCATGCCCCCCGATGAGAACCGGGGCCCCGAGATTCTCGCCGTCTGCGGGGCCCTGGTGGGACTCGCCCTCGTCGTCGTGTTGCTGCGAGTCTATGTGAGGGCAAGGATGGTTCGCCACCTTGGTCTCGACGACTACACCATCATCGCCGCCATGGTATGTACAACCAGCCAACTTGTTGACTTGCTCTCCCTTGTTACACGGAGAGTTGACATGGCCCCTAACTAACCCCATGACAAACAGCTGGTCATGTTTGTGGAAATGATGATAATAATTCCGCAAGTCGATCTCGGCGGTGGCCGCCATGTGCAATACATCAAGCCAGAAGAAAACGTCATCAAAGGGTTGCACCTCAACTTCGTCACCCAGCCCCTCTGCCTGATCGCACTCTGCCTGACAAAGGTCAGCGTCGGCTTCTTCTTGTTACGTCTTACACCCTCACCACGGTTCCGGTGGGTTGTCATTGGCACCATGATCTTCACCGTCCTTTCGGCAAGCGGGAACTTCTGTGAGTAGGCCCTGATGGTTATTGGAGGCAACGAGACTGACCAAAGCAGTGACCGTGTTCTTCCAATGCCGCCCCCTGGCCCTGATCTGGGACCCGTCGGTCGAAGGAACGTGCATCCCACCGTCCAATCTCAAATTCGCGGCCTTCTTCAACTCCAGCGTCGCCGTGCTCACCGATATCCTCTTCGCGCTTCTCCCGGTTCCAATTTTATGGAACGTACAAATGAATTGGAAGGTTAAATCAGCCGTGGCGGCCATTCTATCGCTGGGAATCTTCGCTGCCGTCGCCGCCATCGTCAAGATCACCTACCTCGGCGCCTACGGCCAACACGGCGATTTCCTTTGGGACAGCGCCGACATCACCATCTGGTATGCTGCCACTCCTCCCCCAACCCGGCCCCCACCCCCTCAAAAAACAAACAAGACACCACCCGCCTAACCACCCCCCTCCCACAGGACAACCATCGAAATCAACGTCGCCATCATCGCCGCCTCCATCCCCTGCCTCAAGCCCCTCTTCAAGACACTCCTCGACGGCACCTCGGCCCGATACTACGGCTCGTCCAAATACAAGCGCTACGCCCACCACCCCGACGACGACAACATCACCCCCCAACACCACCACCCCATCAGCAGCAGCAAAGCCACCAAATCCACCAGCACCGCCCGCTCCGCCGGCCGCGCCTCGCGGCGCCTCTCCGTCGCCATCCTCGGCAGCCGGACCGCGGTGGGCCCCGAGTTCGAGATGTACGGCTCCGGCGGCGGCGCGAACAGTAGCAGCGCTGTGGGAGTGGGGACGACGGCGTCGGCGAGTGGGAAGTTCTCGACCGAGATCAAGTCGACCGGGTCGGAGGAGAGTATCCTGCCGCAGGCCGGCGACGATGATGATCGGGGGTGGGTGGATGGTGGTGGTAGTGGAGCTGGGGCTGGGGCTGGGGCGGGGGGTGGGGGGATTACTGAAAGACGACTACGGTCGGTGGTGGAGGTATGATGAAGAGGGGGAGGAAGGCGGAGGCGAGGAGGTCGGGGGTTTGGAGGGGCTAGGTATCTAGGGAGGAAGGGAGGGGGTTTGTGATGGGGGGTTGATGATTTGATGATGGGATGTTGGGGGGGTTTTGTATGGCCTCTTCCTGGGAGGGTGCTGCGCCATACGTTTGCTTGTCAGGCTGCTTTTTCTTTGGCTGCGTGAGACGCAGAGAAAGAGGGCGTATCTCGGGGGACCTGGGAAACGGCTCGACCAATGTTTAGGGAGGGTGAACTGGCGGGTATGAAAATTGCCCGGGCGTTGTGCGTTACAGCTTCGTTGTACCGTGTGTAGACGGGTATTTTGGAATTGTTAGATATGATTAATTAGCCTCGCGGCTGGATGGGCAGTAATGTTGAGTATGCGACCGGAGCATCTCTCAGGCGGTATCGTGACTAAGAGCTTCAAGGTGCACGGCCACTAGCGTTTTGTACCTTGGGTGAGAGATACGAAAACACAGTCAGCTCTTGGTCAGACTACCCAAGTTTGACAACTCGGTGACGACATGGAGATCTCATCGCTCATCGCCCACCGTCCACCCGATATGCCAATGTTCCGACCGATTCCTAGCAAGAGTGTTACGGTAAGGTCTGTCGGGCCTCTAGGGCAGTATACGGCGGTGACGGGCGCAGTATTTGAGCACCAGCTTGCTAATCCGGAACCTCAACATGGACATGTCTAAATGTAGATGTGGATTGGGATTAGCCTTGGCTCGCACTGCGCCCTCGCGGCGTTCATGTCGGGACTTACGGTCATAAACAAATCCGCTCTGGATCAAGTCGTCCTCAATCTTCTTCCGATCGCCCTTCTCCTCTATGCCCTTGTTAGTTATGGATGGAAGAATGAGCTAGGGCCGTTGTTGAGATCCGTACCGACGTATCCCGCGCCGTAAATCGCTTGTTTGACCTCACCATCGAGCAAGTTTCGATCTGCGCATATGTTAATGACTCTCTGGGTGTATTCGCAAGCTTTTCCAGCCTCGGCACAAGTGATCTTACCCGCGGCAGGAAGCTGAGTAAATATCATGCTCAGTACCTCGTCAAGGTGCTTGCCTGCCAACACAGTATCAGCCGTATGTTTTTTTGATCCCGCAGAAGATTATTACATAGGTATCTACCGTAGCCGGAATCGTGAATCATGGCCATCACTTTGGCGACCAACGGGTTGTCATCTGTCTCAGCGTTAGGTACCTAATTAGCAGTCCATGCAATTATTTACGGTAGGCGCTTCACACTGCATGCCTCCTAATTGCGTGTACTTACATGTGTACCCGATCCTTGTGATTGTCACGAATATGTCAACAGGTGGAGCCTGGGGGCGTGGACACCCCGAGCCAGTCGTCCCGAGGACGAATCAGGGAAGGCTGGGGTGTGCTCAGTGTGATCAGGGAAACGGGGAACAAAGGGAAACCAAGCACACTGAGCATAGAAGCCATACAGCCAATCAGAACACAGGAAGGACTAAAAGTGATCAGTGTGATCAGTGACGCCAAACTCCGGAGGAGACTGAGCACACTGAGCACATAGGACTTAGATAGGTATATAGTCACTCGTTCTGGAGAGCTCTGAGAGTTCTCCAGTTAGCAATCACAACTACAGTTCGCTACAAGCTCGGAAACCTACTGTTGAGACAAGCCTTTGTTGTGCACCTTTTGGTTGCACCGAACCCTAAGCACCCTTGAGAGATTACCTTCAACCGAAGCTGAACCCTAACAGGACAGGGTCCTGAAGTAGGTTCGTCACATGAGGCCGCACTTCGTCTCGCACGTCGCAAAGGTAAAGTGCGTGCAGTATATGCCACACACAGAAACTACAGCGCCGAATGGTTGTCTACTCGTCGAGTTTGCCTGATACCGCTTTTCTTGTTAACCTGTCAGAGCATATTGGGATTTGGAATGGGGGGTGGATGCGGTGTAAATTGATGTGATTAATATCACGACCTCGACCATGTTTCTCTGTTTGGGTACTTCAATCTGCCCTTCAAGCGAGCCCCGCCAGCTCGCGGCCTAGGCGCGCAACTAAAGCATAATATGCCAAGCATTGTACCAAACGCCGGGCGGAAGCTAATGAGGGATTCGGTTCCTTTGTGGCGCCCGTCGGCAATGTTCTGGATGATTTCCTCCTCAACGTTGCAGTCCAGGGAAACCTACAACCGTGTTGCTTCTCCGAGACTGGAAGTGATGGGTTTACACTCAAAGAAAGGTACGAGGCAAAGGGGTCACATCGATCCTTGCTTTATCCTCTCCTTGGCACGAGTATGGTAACCACGTTCTAAACTTCAAGTTAAACTCATGGTCAAGAACCAAATGACGATAATGACGGTAGGGGGGAAAAGAAGAGCATGGAAATCATATACAAATATAATAATATGTAAGCCAGAAGCCAAGCTATATACCTGCAAGGTAGTGCCAGTGTGGTGGGAACTATGTACAGGAATAGAACCACATGGCCAAAGAGTGAACATGAGCCAGATTTCCAACTGAGCAGTGTCCAAGATATCATCATCAAGAAGAGTACTGAGCAACATAGCCAACCTCCATCATGGCACCATACCCGCCCTGCGTGTTTCCGTTGGGGTAACCAGGCTACACACCACACGTCAGCACATCTCACACGACCAACCAAGGAGGAAGCCACATCACATCTACTCACCCAGTTCCCGCCCACCGCAACATTCAGAATAAAAAACAGCGGCTTGGCCGTCAGGCTCTCCCACACGCCCTGGTCGTTGAGCTGGTCGCCGCGGACCTGGTGGAACTGGCGGTCGTTCATGAACCAGGTGATGGACTGGGCGCGCCAGTCGCCCGAGGTGCGGTCCCACACGATGCGCCAGCGCTGCCAGTCCTGGTTGGGGATGGCCACCGACGCGCCGCGCCCGTTGGGCTCGTTGCACACGCCGCCGGGGTAGACTAGTACAACAGTTGTTAGTCACATGTCGTTGGTGATGCTAGGAGAATGGTGGGTCCCAGGGGTGAGACCAACCGTGGCAGTGGATGGTGCCGTAGCCGTTCAGCTGGCCGTTGACCGTCTCTAGGATGTCCAGCTCGCCGCAGCCGGGCCAGGCGGTGCCGGAGCGGATGGAGTCACCCAGCAGCCAGAAGGCGGGCCAGATGCCCTGCTTGGTGTCGATGTTGTTGCCGCCGAAGCGGATCTGGGCCTCGGCCATGGTGCGCTTGCCCGCCTGTGGCGTGAAGGTGTACTTGGACTCGAGGCGGCCCGAGGTCCAGTCGGAGCCGTCCTGCCAGGGCACGACCTGCAGCGTGTAACCGCCGCTGGTCTGGACGTTGCGTGCGTTGCGCCGGTACGTCTGCAGCTCGTTGTTGACACCAATGTTGCCGTCGATGATGTTCCAGTTGTTCTCGTTCGGCAGCCCATTGCTGGGTCCCGCGAAGCTGTCGGCCCAGACGAGCCGGTAGCCATCGTAGCCTGGTGCGTCCCAGGCTGAGACGCTGGTCCCGAGGATGGACAGCAACGAGATGTAAGAGGCGAAACGCATGTTTGCAAACGGTAAGGAGTGGTAAAAGGGGTTGAAAAATAAGGGTGATGTAATATATACAAGGAATGGTTATTGAAGTGAACTTCTCCAGGAATGTGGTGAAAGGAATGTCTCGGATCGGTACCTAAGGAGCGACGATACAGAGTAGGGACTCAGGGATGGAAGGAGGCAGTCTGAGACTGTTTATATGCTCTTTGTGAATCCATACAAGACGAAAGTGCTCAGGTGGAATGCCCAGAGATGCCCGGAAATGAGCAGGGGTTGAGGGAGGTGGGCAATGAGGGACGAAGCACATGGTCCTGATGGTAGTCCGATACCCCGATACCCACCCCAAGAAGAAGTGTGCGGGGGGCGGCCGAGGCCAATGGAACCTGCCCAGTTGGTGCCGCCTGATGTGCCCAACACTGCATATTTCCAATGGTAAAGTGACAGCCTTTTTCTACGTGGTGGGTTTGGGTTGCGGGCAAGGGGTGGACGGAGGCTTGTCAGGAGGCAAAATGGGTCATTCGTTGAAGGAGCGGTGGAGGGGTTCAAGATCCAAGCGGCTTCAAAAGTTCAAAGCATCTCATCTGCCCAGGTTCATGCGGCCCAGCCCGGTGTTAAGGCTACTTGGGGCGAGATGAGTTGAGCCTCAAGGACTTGGGCGTCGACCAATAGTACGCCGGAGTGCAGGACAAAAAGGGCGGCCGGCAACGACGAGACCAATGGCTGCTGTGCTGTGGTGGCAAACAAACCGCAAATCCGAGCCGCCCTTTTCCAAGCGTGCAAGCCTAGAATTTTGACGTTTTGTCGACCGAAGGTTTGGACGCTGCATTGAAGGCCAAGGCCGCTCGGGGAGAAGCGACAACAACGTCCATCTCGTCCGTGTGGGTGACCCTTTTCCCCGGGTTCGGGGTAGCATCGGGGCGTGCTTCTGCCGCTGTAGCGTGCGTGAAACAGCTGCCTAGCAGCAGTATCGCCGAGATGGTAGGGTGGTCTTGCAGTGTAAAATCGGGGCATCGGTGTGTAACGTTGTCTCTGTCGACGTTGGGCATTGACTCTTGATCTTGATCATGTTGTAGGGAGTGCGCGTGCTCACAGGTGCTGCGAGGTCCGTCTGGTCTTACCTGTGACTTTTTTTTTTTTTTTTTTTGCTCAGTGACTGGGAAGAGAAAAGCGTGATGTGGGGCTCGTGGCATGACGGATTCTATCAAGGTTCCAGATGCGCCAGTTCAAACAAGGGAGGCAGGCGTGTCCCGAGGACAGGTTGATGTGGAAGGGCCCAGGGAGGTTATTGGTGGACGACAAGATGGTTCAGGGGCCACATGCGCCACCTGCCCCTTCCCTAATGAAACGGAACTTTCGATTCGCCAACTCCCGTTCGGCAAGGTCAAGCGCGATCGAAGAGGGGAGATCCGAGCAGCCAACCCCGGATCAGCCATTTTGACCCCACTTTGCTCTCGTGCCCCACGTGTGAGTATCATCTGGCAGTGTCGGCCTGTCGGGCAATGCCGAAATGTGGGAGGGCGGCTGCCTGACAATTGCAGACCCCTTTGTCAAGTGCCACCGAGCTTCCAGTTTGCACTTGAATTGAACCCTTCTGGTAGCAATCGCTGCAACCTCAGTCACCGGGCCCCTTTTTATCGGCCCGACAAGCTGCTCCGGCGCGTTTGAGAATTTCGAACGATACTACAACGCGCGTTGCTTTCAACTTCTTCAGGTCTTTTAAGTCACCTTCTACGTTTTTGGCCTTCCGCATTGATATCTCGCCAAGTCGGCCAGCTCGGTTCCCCTCATCCACACCTTTGATCTCGTTCATCCAATGTTGCAACTACCTAGCCAAAATTCTCACCGATTTTATCTCGAATGAGCCATTTATGTCTTTTATCTACTGTCCTGGGGATGAACGCTAGACCAAAGACTCCTTTTTTCCCTCAGGTAGCGCTAGCCTTTTTTTGTTGCAGTGCTTAGTACGGCCTGATCCCAGGCATGGAGGGTACCTATCATCAGCCTTCAGCATGATGCTGACGGTAAACCGCACTCCTTTTTTATCGCCGCATGTGCCGGTTACGTTGTTATTAACTCATAGAATTCCCAACTCATACGTATCCTCTTCATGGACAGAGCTCTAAGCTGGACATCACATGTGCTTTGTTTGGCATGTACCGAAACGCTCAAGAGTGGTGTGTCCAGGACATGCCCGTCAACCAGGGGTTGGTTACATCGGTTGGCGTTAAGCGCCGAGTTTTCTTCCGGTTTGGTGTGGTGATAGAGAGAGACTAGATATCTGTTACGTACAATCTCGCGTTGTTTTTCTGCAATAGTCTTCTTACACCACAAACTTCCGCATAGTTAACCACGTTCAGCAAAGGTTGAAAGATACCGGAAGACTTGCGAACGTGGAGCATGCTAAGGGGGTTCCCGAGTGCACCAGAACTCATGGCACCTCGACGACCTGCTTCAGTCAAGTGCCCAGATGCTCAAAAGCCGGTATTGAAAAGGGGACTATTGTACCGGATATGGAACTCCTACCCAATGGCAAAAGTATAGTCATTACTTTGTAGGTTTCAATTCTTTCGGTGTCTCATATCAACCGTCGAAGTGACGGGGGTGTGTGGTGGTGTGGCCGCGGGGAAACAGTCCTTGACGGTGGTAAGAAGGGATTTCCGCAGAGCTGCCCAGGGGTCGAAGATGGGCCAATGCCAGGCAATGAAAACGGATTAATCCATGAACCCCCTTGCAGCAGGCGTCCCGGCAATAGTGATGCCACCCAACAAAGGACCAGGCCCAGACATACGATGGGGTCCCCAAGCTGTAAGGGGAGCCATCGGCGAGGACTCAAGATTGATTCAGGTTTCCCCATAAATCCTGGCGCGCAATCTTATTTCCCCCCTCGACTAACTTTATCTTTTTGCTATTATTACCGAGGGTCTGTCGACAGCACGATCCTTTAATAGGGCTTCGGGGGTACAAAATGACTATAGTTTTCGTCAGAACAGCGACGGCAATAGCTGTCTCGAATCCTTCATGAAATCATACATCGAGGAGTCCCCAAAACAAAGGCAAAGAATGCTGCCGCCTGCTCTATTCGCCATGATGCCTTACGTGTTGGTCCACAAAGGTTAGGATGGGCTCGATATATGTGTCCCAGCCTGGGACTTGAGGTCCCTACACCACTTGGTTAGTATACATTTCCAAGCTTGGCCGGAACACAGGATATGGACCCCCTTACCGTGTACTTGACGTCAAAGACATGCGGTTCGCCCTCTTCATATGACTCTACCACGGGCACGTTCGCCTTCTTAAGTAGCGCCGCCATTGCATAACTCTGCTCGACTGGCACATCAGCGTCCCCTGTTCCATGGAGGAATGCCGTCGGCGGGTACAACTCGGGCCCCTTCATGCCTTGCTCGACTCGCTGCTGCAGGACTCGGTACGGCGATACGGAGCACACAAATGCCATCAACTCGCTTTCGTTGGGGAAGTCATCCTCGTGCATGATACCGACGCGCAGTCCCTCGGCCGAGTAGGCCGGCGAGTGTAGCGCGTACAGCTCGGCCTGCTTCAGCACCCTGTCCGTGCAGTGGAAAGCGTTCTCCCAGAGCTTGCTGATCTCGGTCTTTGAGACGGCCTGAAACTCATCCCATGAGCACGGAAGGGCGTCTGTTAAAGCATTGGCTTGGTCGCGATCCCGTAGCAACTTGTTAAGTTCCACCTCTGAGAACTTTCCGTTCCACGGCTCTTGGGTCGTTCGAGTAGGCCGGAGCTCGGGTGGGCCAAAATGTGGAAACTGGAGGAAGTCGACGAGGCCATACACATTGACGATTGCCTTTGGACGCGGATTGGAAAGCTGGAGGGCCATCGAGGTAACGAGGTGGCCACCGGCCGACTCTCCGATGAGGACGTACCGGTTGACGTCGACCTTGTCCGCACCTAGGATGAAGGGGAGATTGGCACGACACCAAGATACCGCTTCTAGGCAGTCGGCGACCTGTTCGTCAATCCTTGCTTGAGGGGCGAGACGGTAGTTGTGGGACACGAAGTGATATCCTCGCCGCCGGAAGCCTGGGACCATCCATGGCAGCGGCGCAAAATCTAGCCGGAATAGTTAGTTTGTGGGAGAAGAGGGTGCCGAGGAGAAGAAAACGTACGGAAGCCGCCGATCCATCCGCCGCCGTGAGTCCTATTACACAGTCAGTCATAACCCATCACTAACTAAGGCAGGGGACGGTGCTAGCAGAAATCACAAAGAAGGAGACGCACGCATTCTAATAGGACTCTAAATGTGCGACTATGGTTGTCGACGTGCATGCCTTCTTTAGAGCCCGTGAAGGAAAGTCTAGGACTGTAACACCTACCAGATAACAACTGGGGCGGGCTCGTCGAGAGTGGTTTCAACGGGCCAGACCCGCACACCAAGTTCGACACCACTAGCCGACTTGAAGGTGTGGTCGCTAAAGCCTGGTAGTGTTGCCAGAGGGACGGAGGCCATTATGAGTCTGGTTGATATGTTTCTTCCCTATTAGTTCCCGACACAAGTGAGAATCGTGTAAAGATCTGGGAGAAGTTTTGGGTCGCTGAGAGGTTGGTGCAGTGCGGGGATGGCATGGAGGATTCACCCGTGGAGGATTCAACCAAGCGAACTAACGTTACCTAATGAGGTTAAACCAAAATAACTATGTAAGGTACGTATTCCAAGCTAATGCAAAAGTCTTGCGTTTGCTAGTGCAGCTTGGGAATTCTTCTTTACTGGAAGCCCCGAGCCTCGAGACAGCACAGGCCTGATGGTACTCCGTGGGATCTGGGGAGCTTGAGTTCGCAGTCCGCCGCAGATAGTAACGAGCCGTGATGGAAACCAAGGATCAGCCAAGTAACGCTTGTTTTGTTATGAAAGAGTGGCAAGGACATGACGTCCACGGAAATGCATAGGACCAGACCTGCTACCATGACTACCTCATCGTTGGCTCGCCCCGATGTAACATCTTGCAGGTGATTCAGAAGGTACGCCCCAGCCTCCTACATCTCAAGGGTCAGAGTGTAGTTGCTGGCTGTTGTATGGACTGGCTCCTGTGTAACAACTATTTAGCATGTTGCCTCTTTCAAGGCACCCAAAAGGCCAGTTTCTGGGAGCAACCGTGCAAGTGATTGAGCTACATAGGTGCCTTTCATGCTTATAGGAGACATCCCTGATTTCGACCTCTTCGGCTTCTTTCAGACCAATTCAACCGCTTTAAGTCTGAATGTGTCTCGCACCGCGGCCATCTAATTCCAGGATCTCAGAATAACATGTAGTTAGTAGAAAAAAGCAAAGGCAGATGGTTTCCGCTCTTACATTGAAGCGTACCAGCCACGGCGTCAGCCCGCACTCCAAAGCTGTTGACGAGGGAGGAGGCGCTTGGGAACAGCTTGTCACTGGATGAGAGATAGATGCGCTATAATTGGGCGGCAGTGGTTCCCGAATTTGTACTGTGGATATAAACGTGCGGGGGTTGATGCCCGACGGCGGTGCCTCGTGCAACGTGAACTGGATGCTGCGGTGGTCGCTTCTGCCGACGGAACAATACAACTTCAGGTTATCAGGGAATCCACAACTGGGGCCATTTTGTATGCCACGATGACCAACAACCTCAACCGGCAGCCGTCAGACTCAGACGCCCTTGATCAAAGCGATGATAAAGACAGCATCCTTGATACCTACCTTGTTGGCATCGGACTCGCTCAATGGGTGCCCGAAATCCATTCTGCTATTGCCCAAGGGGCTCAAGACGTACTTTCCATCATGACGCAACCACGGTCGGTCGATGAAATACGCGAAGCATCCCGCAAGATGCGACACTCCCCAGCAAGCACCATCCAGGTGACAGGCATCATGTGGTACCTCACCTATCTTAGCATCGAACGCGGCCAGACCTTTGTGACGGGCGCGTACCTGTGCCGCGATCCAGAAGGCCGGTTAGCAGCCTACTTCAACGGCATTGGAACACCACGCATCAGCAGCCATTTGAAGAGACACACCTCACCAGGATGCACAGCCGGTATCGATCTTCGTATCCCCGCGGGCAAATCCAATATTGCGGAACGGCCGCCTCCCCTTCCTCATGGCCACTGCCACATCCTCTCCATTGCAATCGTGAACGACAAACGGCGAGGAAAGTGTCTGTATCTCAAACCCGAGCGCTACGGCGTCCATGGAATTCGCAACCTGGCGCACCACGCTATCATGTATAGCAAGTCACTGAAGCGCAAGCACACCTTTGGCGGGAACGAAGTCCCTGGAATGCGTAAGGAGCGTATCCCGGATGACTTCGTGGTGGCCTTCGCTGAGGCGGCTGCTTCGCTTGAAGGCGGGTCGGATGCTATTGCTGAGGTTGGTCGTCGGGGTAAGGGCGAGGGGATCGGCGGGATGTATGAGTTTCTGACGAGGACGCTGGGTGATGCAAGCGTGGTGCTGCCTGAGGGGTCTGAGAAGCGCATGCGGCATCTTCTAGGGCGGCTTGAGTCTGAGTACGATTTTGTTGATCTACGGTTTGGGAATGAGGTTGTCATCGACCTTCCGGTTGAGATCAACAGGACACTCCCGGAAGCACCGGGGGTTGTTGGTCCGTCACCATTGCTGCGGTGGGCTTCGAGTGCCGCGTGATAGGAGGTGTAGTAAACAATCGGTAGCTTGATGTTTCTTGTGACAGAATAACTCACGGTGTAAAGCTTCACGAGAAAAGGCAAGCCGAAAGAAGGAGAAGGAAAACCAGGTAGTTATCCATAATCCATTTCTAGTCACTATGTAGACCGCTACAGGGACCAGCCCAGCGGTTTACACGGCGGTGAAAACTCAAAATGACAAAAAGACCGTTCTTGTCGGCTCCTCGGCGAGTGCTGGCTGCATGTGTCCATTTGGTGTATCCAGCCTACAATACGGGTCAAGTTTCAAACTTATTGCATTGCTGTGAATCGATACCTCGGGGCAAATCTAGCGGTTTATGCCGTCCTATGGACATGACGCAGCTGTACATGCTCTCAATCTTCTACGAGTCCATTCATGTTGGTACCTGCCCAAAGCAGCCCCTTCGTAAATTTCCTCGATCCACTACAATGCTACCCCCACATACACCCTTCTCCATGAATCTCGATTTGGCAATACCCCCGTGGATTCGGGCAACGTTTTCCATGGTCCCTTCGCTGATAGTAACGACCGAAGGATATCAGCAACGCCAGTAGAGTTTGCCAATGCGCTCGCCGAGCTCACCAAAATGTTTTGCTACGTTTAATCACATAACAGGCTTGTACATGTCTAGTACGGTACCCTGGTATTTTCTTTGCTTGGAGGACATGTAAATCCTTCGGCAGACGGCGCGGTATAACCGTAAAACTTACAAGGTTACCGAAAGACCGGCCGAATGCTACCTCAAACAGCTTACTTACCATGGAAATTGTGAGGGAGGATTCTCCGCACCTTTATCCGTACCAATCGTCAGTAGGTGGCGTCTTGCCTTGCACGAGGGGGGATCGCCAAGATGGAATCGAGCTTCGGCACATGCCGCACGCGGTGGGATTATCCTGGCCATTTGCGGTCGCTTCGTGCTGCAAGGTTCCTCGCGAACGGTTACACGAACTAACCGACATGGTACCGAGCGAACCCAGAAGCCGGGGTGAAGGCAGAGTATAAGTTGGAGGCTTACCACATGTTGGTTCTACCTCCGAAGCCATCTTATTCCACTGCCTTAGTATCGACAACATGCCCAGTTGGTCTATCTCGCTCCTAGGCGCCGGCCTTTGCTGGCTGGTGTCTATGACAAATGCCTTGCCGGCTCACCATCACAGTTCTGCACCGGTAGTTGCGGTCAAGAATGGTTCATACGCCGGCATACACTCGGCCGAGTACAACCAGGACTTCTTCCTCGGCATCCCATATGCCCGGGTATGTACAGCAGTTTCTCCTTCCATGTTACGGCCGTAGATAGACTGACTCAATGGTACCCCTGACAACAGGTAGCGCCTCGGTTCACCGTCTCGCAGCATCTAAACTCATCGTGGGAGGGTGTCCGGAATGCCACCGTATATCCGCGGCATTGCGTCGGCTACGGCGGCGACCAAATTGGCTACGAGGTCTCGGAGGATTGCTTGTACCTAAACGTTGTCCGACCGGCCGGTATCTCAGACACTGCTGACCTTCCGGTGGCTGTCTGGATCCACGGTGGCGGTTTGGTGAGTTCACTCAATCACTCCACAAATTCCGGGGTTGTCCTCCGTTTCTAACTACTGTGGTGTCTCTACTTTTTCACAGGTTATGGGCGGCTCAGCAGACAGGCGCTACAACCTCTCCTTCATCGTGGAAAATAGCGTAGAGCAAGGCACCCCCATCATCGGCGTCAGCCTCAACTACCGCCTGTCCGCCTTCGGCTTCCCCATGGGCGAGGAGGTCCTCGCCGCGGGCGTGACCAACCTAGGCTTCAGGGACCAGCGACTGGCGCTGCAGTGGGTGCAGGAAAACATCGCCGCCTTTGGCGGCGCCCCCGACAAGGTGACCATCTGGGGCGAGAGCTCCGGGGCGGAGAGTGTCAGCGCGCAGACGCTGGCCTACGGCGGGCGCGACGACGGCCTGTTCCGCGGCGTCATCGGCCAGTCCGGATACGGGGGCTTCCTCGTGCGCTACCCGGGCGGTCTGAACGCCAGCGCCGCCATGCAGGACACGTACAACACGCTCGTGCGCAACACCAACTGCGCCCACACGGCCGGCACCCCGGCCTCCCTCGATTGCCTGCGCGCCCTGCCGCTGGAGGACATGCACGCGGCGCTGAACACCACGGAATCCAACCCGGTGTGGTCGCCGGTGCTGGACGGTGACTTCGTGGCCGACTATCCCTCCAAGCAGTTGAGTGAAGGTCGTTTTCCCAAGGTGCCGGTGCTGATCGGCTGCAACTCGGAGGAGGGAGCGTCGTTCGGCACGGGACTGGGCCCGAACGGTGGCGGCATCAACACGGACGAGGAAATGCGGCAGGCGGTCATGGTTCGTGTGAGTCCTGAGGTGGAGAAGACGGCCGGCAAGACGGTCAAGCAGGTGGTGGATGAGTTGATGTTTTTGTACCCGAATATCCAAGCCGTCGGTACCCCAGGCCTTGATAAGTGGCCTGTTATCCAGCCCGGTGACGAGGTAGCCCTAAGGATGGGCCTACAGTACCGCCGTTCCGCCGCCCTATTTGGGGATTTGTAAGTTGCCCACAAGAGAAGTAACGAGGGCAAGTGATTACTGACAATCGGAATTTGTAGCATGATGCAACACTCCCGACGGCGTGCGAGTCTTGCCTTTGAGAAGCAGGGGATTCCCGCCTGGAACTATCGTTTCGACGTCACGCTTCCCAGCATACCCGGCTACATCGGAGCCACTCATTTCCAGGAAGTTGCCTTTGTGTTCGACAATACCCGCGGCGAGGGCTATGGAAAAAACCCCTTTGCCAACAACACCGAGTCTCTCGTCGCGCTGGCCAAGACCATGTCGACCGGGTGGATCAACTTTATCACGGGCCAGGACCCCAATGGCGCCGAGGGTTTGAGTCTTCCAGGCAACGTGTCCTGGCCGGCGTATAATGTCAACGTTGGTGGCGGAGTTGGCCAGAATGTGGTCTGGTCGGACAAGGGCAGCTATGTTGAAGTTGACGACTGGCGCGTTGAAGGGATCAACTATTTCATTGAAAACAGTTTGGCGGTGTTTGGCATGTAAGCAGTGGTAAACCACGTACATAAGAATCGGGCATGAAGAACGTTGAATAAAACGAAGGACAACACCACACAGTACATATCACATATTAATACCACGAAAAAAAACTGAAACAAGGAGAGATACCTTGGTTTGATGGCAGCAACAGAACTCTCTACGGTTCATCGACCTCCATAGCCTCCTCTGTTATGACACCCATAGCTGATATCTCTCTATATTCATCGGAGTTCTACACCACATTAGCGTCAGCGACATGAATTTGACACGGCATGACGCCCGTTATGCGTCTTACCCACCTCAGCGGCATACAGGCCAGTGATGACGGTGCCCTGAGCGGCTGTGACTTTCGTGTCGACGCTGCGCCTTTTGTGTTTGATATTAAGGATGCGGCACGAGCGGCCGCGGTTTGTGTAAAGCTACAAGGAAGTGAGCGACCGCGATGGATATTCGTGGGGCGGAGACGGCGTAGAGGGCAACTCACTTTGCACCGACCCATGTATTCTTCAAGATCCGACCGAGGCATACTTGTCTCGGGGGTAGGATAATAATAGCGCATCGAGACCGTCTCAATGCGCTCGCCGCCCGGCCCATCGATGGAGAAATTGGTGGTCTCCTCGTATTCCTCCTCGAGCTTCAAGCGGCCAAAGGATCGATGCTCCCGAGGGACTTCTATGTCAAAGTAAAAGTGAATGCGAAGTATGCCAACGGAGGATACCGCTGAAAGCCCGGTGAGGTGTTGTAGGTACCTTCCGCCCGGTCTTCCAAAATGACCCCAGTGCAAGGGTTTGAATCCAACTGTGTAATTTGTTTCGCGGGAGGAAAGATTGCTCGTTTAAGCAGAGGTGTTGTGGAGGAATGGTCGGATACCATATGGCTGAGTCTCTCAGTCCGCCGCGATGCGGTGGTGGCGGAGGAGAAGGATCGGTTGGTGAGGGAGGCGAATGAGAGCTTTGTGTACGTATACCTGGTACCTATAGTTCGCCTCGAGGGACGCTGCTGGGTGGTACTGTGTACCTTAGATGGAGCCAAGGGGGGAAAGGTCAAAGGTATCCCGAGGGCTGTAAAGATATCTGATAGCCGAGATAGTACGACAACAGCCGGGGATATTCGGATGCGACGAGCGCGACGTGGGGATTGCGGCGCTAGTTGCAAGCATCGAGAACCGCCGCTGTCAATTATGCGTGCCGGGTTTCCGACGCCGCGTCGCGCCCTTGGCTTGCCGTCTCGCCAAGGAGCTACGCGAGAATCAGGATCAGAATGCAGGTGCAAAATACAACATCATAAATACCTTGAACAGCCCCCTCCTCCAGAAAGGAGCCCGGGTATGACTGCGGTCAAGTCAACACATTTCATCATGCACACTCTCCAGGTTGCAGCGGCGATCGCTCCTCTCCTTGGACTCGGGGCAGCATCGTCTCGGTATTCAACTCCAAACGCGACGCGCTCCGTCAACTTCAAGCCGTTCGGCAACGACGACACGGAATGGACATGGAGTACGTACCTAAACAGCCGTCCAGTCATTCATTCCCATCCAGTCCTCTAGCGAAGGCTTTGGAGACTCCGAACTAACCAACCCTTCCCTGGTACCAGGCGTCAACGTAACCGACACCCGCACCGACCCAAACGTACACTATGTGCGGATCGACTACGACTTCAGCTGGCCCGGCGGCGGCTCGCTCGATTCCACCCCCGGCGCCGCCAAAAACCCCAACGGCACCTTCTGCGTCGCGGCCCCCATCTCGTGGGGCACGGCCAAGAACATCACCGATAAGTACACGGACGCCAACACCCACTCCACCGACTGCACGCCCGTGCTAGGGTCGGCCTACGTCGACGCCATCCTGACCGCCTCGGCGGAAAACGACGACGGGACCGGATTGGGGTGTTTCCACCGGTCGTGGTCAAAGTACCCGGAGTGCGCCAACACGTTCGGCATCGCCGAGTACGCGCCCTACGACAAGCAAGGGCTGGAGCTGGAGACGAACAGCTTGATGCCGAGGTACCTCAGGAGTGGGGGGGTTTATCACAGTTTTACGGAGAGCGGGCTTCTCCCTGATACCAACTCGCCCGGGTTGTATGAGAGTGCGGTGAATATGCTACAAGTTATACTGCTGAGGCCGCCGGCGGCGGGGCCGGGTGAGGGGTTTTCACCTGCCCTTCACTGCATGCGGGTGAATACGAAGGAGGGGGTGAATGTTGGTTCTGGCTCCGAGGATGGTAACAGCGGGGCCAGCCGTGGTGTCGCTGCAGGTGGTCTTTGGGCGGTGATGGGGAGCTTGGCCGTTGCGCTTCTGTGAGACTCTGAGTTTCCAATCCGCGTGGAACTCGGAAACTCAGAAGTCTTCATGAGTGAACAGGTGTTGAATAAGGTATAGGAAAACTGGATACCCATGGTCGTATGTACTGGTGACGGTCTCAATTGTCTCTTTTAGAGTCGGAACGTTGCGAGCTGTGGTCCAGTTCAGGAGACCTATGCCTAAGGTACAATGAAATCGACAAGCTCGGGGCCTAGATTCGTTTAGAGAACCCTAATCACAGGGCGGGTTTTCAAGCACAGTTTAACTAAATTATTTAGATAAATCGATCGCTAACCAAAATTCATTCTCAACTAGGACGTTGGCGTGCTTACCTTTGGGCAAGCCAGAAGTATCGATAAAAGGGGTAAAGAGATTCCCCGTACCCACCATTACCGTCGTTCTGGGTTTGATTCCCCCGATATTGATGACAATCAACATCTACAAGCCGGAGTGACCTTGTGAATTCGATAAATCAACCAAGTTCCCTCGCACAAAGTCCAAATGCAAAATATCGCGGCATCTTTCAGACTCGCGTCAAAATCCTTCAACCATGTTCAATTATCCCATCCAACAACAATAAAACCCTAGCAACATTGGCCCTGGCCTCGGACAGCATCCCGAGTGAGGGACCTCGTCAGCCAGTTAATCCATAACAGGGGTGAAGACAAAAGAAGCAGAGATCGTTGCCCAGACACCCCGCCGGCGAACAGGAAACCCGGGGCCCCCTCCGTCCGCGATGTGACCCTGGCACCGACGAAATGTGAATTCCACCAACCAGCGATGTCAAACTCCAAAGCTCTCGTCTCCCCAGGGTAAACCTCCGATGCCCTCACGATTTCGGGTGGCATGCGGCTCAGAATCAAATACTCCGTCGTTACCAATTGTTGGTGGAAAACAAACGCCACCCAGTGGTGCGGATGAATCCCCAATTTACACGGGTATGCACATGGACCCCATGGTAGGATCGACAATATCGTGGGAGCGGTTCTCGGCTTAACAATCAACACGGTCAGGACTAATTAACTATTTAAAGGGCGGATAAATTAGTCCATTTGTCGTTCCCGGGTTACCTTCACCATCCCTCTCGGCGTCCTCACTCATCGCCAACATGCTCCAATCCCTTGTTCTTGCCCTCTCGCTCACCACCGTGGCCTCCGCGGCGGCCCTCGAGGCCCGCGCCGCCCGCACCTCTCCACCAGCCGGATGCCTCGCCGTCGGCAGCTCCGCCACCTACAAGACGGTCCAATCCGCCGTCAACGCGCTTAGCACGTCCTCCACCACAGCGCAGTGCATCTTCATCTACAAGGGCACGTACAAAGAACAAGTCTACATCCCGCAGCTCAAGTCCGCCCTCACCCTGTACGGCGAGACCCCGGACGCCGGCAGCTTCGCGGCCAACACGGTGACCATCACGCAGAGCAAGAGCCAGGACGACTCGTCCAACAACGACCTCACGGCCACCCTGCGCGCCCACACCACCAACCTGCGCGTCTACAACCTCAACCTTATCAACACCCGCGGCAAGGGCTCCCAGGCGCTGGCCGTCAGCGCCCAGAAGGACCGGCAGGGCTTCTATGCCTGCCAGTTCAGGGGCTTTCAGGACACCGTGCTGGCTAACGAGGGCGCGCAGGTGTATGCAAAGAGCTACATTGAGGGTGCGACCGATTTTATCTTTGGTCAGCGTGGGCGGGCGTGGTTTGATGGCTCCGATATCCGCGTGCTGGCGGCGTCGGTGGGCTATGTCACGGCGAGTGGTCGGGATTCCGCGAGCAGTTCGTCGTATTATGTGATTAACAAGTCGGCGATTTCGGCCAAGGCGGGAGATAACGTGCCCGGTGGTGCATATTATTTGGGTCGGCCGTGGCGGAACTATGCGCGGGTGGCGGTCCAGCAGACGAGCTTGTCCGGGGTGATCAATGGGGCTGGGTGGAAGATCTGGAATGATGGTGACCCGAGGACGGATGGGGTTGAGTTT